TTGTTTTCATGCCTGCTAACACAACATCCATTCTGCGGCCCATGGATCAAGGAGTAATTTCAACTTTCAAGTCTTAGTATATAAGAAATACATTTTGTAGGCTACAGCTGCCATAGATAGTGATTCCTCTGATGAATCTGGGAAAAGTAAACTGAAAACCTTTGAAAAGGATTCAACATTCTAGATGTCATTAAGAATATTCGTGATTCATGGAAAGAGGTCAAAATATCAACATTAGCAGAAATTTGGAAGAAGTTGATTCCAACTCTCATGGATGACTTTGAGAGGTTCAAGACTTCAGTGGAGGAAGTAACTGCAGATGTGGTGGAAATAGCAAGAGAATTAGAATTCCAAGTGGAGCCCGAAGACGTGACTGAACTGCTGCAATGTTGTGATAAAATTTTAACGCATGAGGGGTTCTTTCTTATGGATGAGCAAAGAAAGTGGTTTCTTGAGATGGAAGCTACTCCTGGTGAATATGCTGTGAAGACTGTTGAAATGATAACAAAGGATTTAGAATATTACAGAAACAGTTGATAAAGCAGTGACAAGGTTTGAGAGGATTGACTCCAATTGTGAAAGAAGTTCTACTGTGAGTAAAATGCTGTCAAACAGTATCATATGCTACAGAGAAACTGTTCACGAAGGGAAGAGTCAATCGATGCGGCAACTTCATTGTTGTTTTATTTTAAGAAATTGCCACAGCCGCCCCAAGCTTCAGCAAACACCACTCTGATCAGTCAGCAGCCCTCGACATCGAGGCAGTATCCTCCAGCAACAAGCTTATGACTCTCTGAAGGTTCAGATGATGGTTAGCAATACTTTTTTTAGCAATGAAGTATTTTTTAATTAAGGTATGCACATTGTTTTTTTAGATATAATATTATTGCATACTTAATAGACTATAGTATAGCATAAACATAACTTTTATATGCACTAGGAAACCAAAAAATTTGTGACTCACTTTATTGCAATATTCACTTTACTGTGGTGGCCTGGAACCAAACTCACAATATCTCTGAGGTGAGCCTGCATTGCAAAGCCATAATAATCAAAACAGTATGGTACTGTCACAGAAATAGCCACATGGACCCATGGAATATAATCAAGAGCCAGAATTAAACCCATACATATACGGTCAACTAATATTTGTCAAGGGAGCCAAGAATACTCAATGGGGAAAGGATACTTTCTTCAGTAAATGGTTTTGGGAAAACTGGATATTCATTTGAAAAAGAACAAAATTGGACCCCTATCTTACAACATATACAAAAATTAACTCAAAATGGATTAAAGACTTGAGCATAAGACGTGAAACCATAAACTTCCTAGAAGAAAACACAGTGAGTAAGCTCTTTGACATCCATCTTGGCAATGATTTGCTAGATTTGACATAAAAGCTAAGGCAACAAAAATAAAAATAAACAAGTGGGGCTACAGAAAACTAAAAATCTTCTGCACAGCAAAGAAAACCATAAACAAAATGAAAAGGCAACCTACAGAATAGGGGAAAATATTTGTAAATCATATATTTCATAAGGGATTAACATCCAAAATATATAAAGAACTAATACAACTCAACAGCAAAAAAACAATAAGATTAAAAAATGGGGGGCCGGCCCCATGGCTTAGCGGTTAAGTGCGCGTGCTCCGCTACCGGCGGCCTGGGTTCGATCCCAGGCACGCACCAACGCACCGCTTCTCTGGCCATACTGAGGCCGCATTCCACATACAGCAACTAGAAGGATGTGCAACTATGACACACAACTATCTACTGGGGTTTTGGGGAAAAAAAAAGGAGGAGGATTGGCAATAGATGTTAGCTCAGAGCCAGTCTTCCTCAGCAAAAAGAGGAGGATTAGCATGGATTTTACCCCAGGGCTAATCCCCCCGCCCCAAAAAAAAAAAAAAAAAGATTAAAAAATGGGCACAGGATCTGATTAGACATTTTCCTGACAAAGACATACAAATAGCCAACAGGTACACAAAAATGGTCCTCAATATCACTAATCATCGGGGAAAAGAAAATCAAAACCACAACGAGATATCACCTCACACCTGCTAGAATGGCTGTCATCAAGAGGACAAGCCTTGGCGAGGATGTGGAGAGAATGGAACTCTTCTGCACTGTTAGTAGGAAGGTGAATTGGTACAGCCATTATGGAAAACAATATGGAGGTGATTCAAAAAATTAGAAATAGAACTACCATATGGCAGCAATTCCACTTCTAGGTATATATGCATCAAAAACAAAATCACTATCTTGAAGTGATATCTGCACTCCTATGTTCATTGAAGTGTTATTTACAATAGCCAAGCCATGGAAACAACCTAAGTGTCCATCAATGGATGAATGCATAAGGAAAATGTGCTATATATACACAGTGGAATATTATTCAGCCAAAAAAAAAGACGGAAATCCCGCCATTTGCGACAATACGGATGGACCTTGAGGGTATTATGTTCAGTGAGATTAGTCACACAGAGAAAGATAAATATTGTATGATCTCATTTATATGTGGAATCTAAAAAAAAATAAACTCATTGAAACAGAGTACAGATTGGTGCTTGCCAGAGGCAAGGAGTGGTGGGTGGCGGAAATAGGTGAAAATGGTCAAAAGGTATAAACTTCAAGTTGTATAATAAGTTCTGGGGATGTAATGTACAGCATGGTGACTACAGTTAAAAATACTGTGTTGTATATTTGAAAGTTCCCAAAAGAGTGGATCTAAAATGTTCTCATCACAAGAAAAGAAGTTTGTAACTAAGTGAGGTGATGGATGTTAACTAAACTTATTGTGGTGATCATTTTGCAATATATACACATATCAAATCATTATGCTGTACCCTTTAAACTAATTCAATGTTATATGTCAATTATATCTCAATAAAACTGGAGGGATAAAGGTGGAAGTGATCTAAATGTCCAACAATATAGGGCCGGCCCGGTGGCGCAAGCGGGTGGGTGCGTGCGCTCTGCTGCGGCGGCCCGGGGTTCGCTGGTTCGGATCCTGGGTGTGCACCGATGCACTGCTAGGCAAGCCGTGCTGTGGCGGCGTCCCATGTAGAGTGGAGGAAGATGGGCATGGATGTTAGCCCACGGCCAGTCTTCCTCAGCAAGAAGAGGAGGATTGGCAGATGTTAGCTCAGGGCCGATCTTCCTCACAAAAAAAAAAATAAATAAAATAAAAAATAAATGTCCAACAATAGAGAACTGGTTAGATACAGTGTGATAAATTCATAAAAGGCAATTTTATTCAGTCATAAATACACACATGCGCGCGCACACACACACACACCCATCCATAAATTTATTGCTATGGAAGGAGTCTCATCACTCACTGTTTGTTGAATAAGAAACTAGGCTTAAAACTATGTATATTATTATATCATTTATGTAAAATTATGTGAACACACGTGCCCATAAACATAGAGTAAAAGATTCTGAAAAATCACGGCCAAAATAATGATTCTATTTCTGGTAATTTTAACATTATCTTCTTCCTGCTTCTATATACTGCTTCAATTCCCTATGATGGGTATGTATTTTCATTATAAATAAACCAAAAAGAAAAAAAAAATCTCCTACCCTCCAGTACAAAGCATAGTACGTGTTATTTTCAGGTCTCAACCCCTTGGATTAATGTTTTTTCTTAACCTGGAATATTTTTTCTTCTCGTCTAGTCTGCCAACTCATCCTTTGATTCAGTTTAATTGTTTACTAGTTGTTACTAGAACAGACAGCCTTGAAGTTCTGTTTTCATAGTATTTGGCCAAGATCCTCAAAAACTAAAGCTAAATCAATTCGCCGCTAGAATAAACTTTTCTGAAAGAACTAACTTACGGCAGCACTCTTCAAAATACTTACAGTGATGCTGGCTGTTCCACACATGGCTGCTCCTCGATTTGTGATGAAATGTAAGCTGGTGTTGGTGCATAACCTCTCCCAACGAAAACAGCTGAAAACCACTACATTTGTTGTAACGTGTGTGCCTATCATTCACTTCTGACTCCAAGTAATGGTAGAGGCAGGATTTGGCAGCTACATGATGAAGAGATGTCCCCATACCAACTTACCAAACTCAGGGTTGCTGCAGAATTGTTAGTAACATTTCTCTGCCCTCTGTTCCCTCTTTGAATCTGGGCTCCTTTCTTCAGACCACAGCAGCCAAGCAGAAGTGACCGAGACCCATAAATCCCTCTGCTTCACACACACACTCACAAATTTTGGTGTCTTTTTGCCTGGATCAAGCTACCCTTGCTCCCTTGCCCAGTTTTTAAATGCACGTATTTGTGTTTGTTAAAGATTTTTTTTAATTGGAAAGAAAAAAAGTCTATTTCTTCCCAGAATCTCCTGAATTTTGGGACACGTTTTAGAAGTCCTCAGACTCCTCTTGCTGAGTTGCTCTTACAGAAAATATTTCCCTCACGACATGATGGTAAGAAGAACTTCACAACACTCCTGCTTCCCACGTGAAATGAAAAAGACGAACCACCAGGCCAGTTCCAAAATTAAGGGGAATTCCACTTTATATGGAAGATTTTTAACAAATGTTCCAGAAGCTGAAACTAGAATTAGACGCTGGGAATTCAGACTCAAACACTGATTTTAAGCCCTCAGCAACTTTTGATTCTTCTGCCAGTTTGTATCCACGACTCAAAATCTTGCAGCCACCAAATATTTATGTTTATTCTCTCCTGAATTAAGTACTTACTGAGTTTTTACCAAAGTGCTGGGAGATAGTGTGAGCTAAATACATATGAAGTTTCAAAAATCATATTGTCTCCCAAAGAAACGAGCAAATGATTAATAGAGACCATTTTTTGGACCAAGGACTGAAGACCACTGAGTGGACTCCATCAGTGTACTGATGCTAGCAAAGACACACAGATCCAAAATCACCTTTGGTATAAAGGTATGCCATCTCTATATGTTATACAGATGGGTCATATAACACATAACCCGGAGAAAGCTGTTTTTTGTGTGACTATTTACTCACCCCAAATTCCCATGAATATTGCGAAGAACACTGTTGACTCATTATCAAATAAATGGGAGACCTATAAAAACAACAATAACATCACAAAGACTACTTAGTATCAGATGCACTGCAAAAGGAGGGAAATTCCAAGTCTTTTCAACATCCCACAATGCATCCATACCTTTGAAGCCAAACACGTAGTATTTAGTCTCCAATAATCACACACGAGATCACAGAGTGGGCACATGATGATCTGACCTCCAATCTGAGGGTCACAGATTTCAGTGCTGCAGAGGGAACAGCAAAGTTGTTTTAAAAGTCATATGTGTTTCCGTGCAAGTCCAAAGCTGTTCTTATCAGAACAACTGTTTACACAGCCCCTCACAAATGGCAGAAGGGGCAATGAAGCAGCAATTTCTGTAGCAAGTCAAGTCAGGCTTTGAAGCGCAGAATCTTTAGAGCTGATCATTAAAAACAGATTTTCCATAAAGCACCAGATGAGGGGTAGCTGCTATGTTTGGGTCTTTTTCAGAAATACGAATTATGTGCTGCCATAAGGAAACAGTCTGAAACAAATGCCGGGGAAATAACAACAACAGGTCAGTTAGCATAAGATCACGACACTCTCTCTATGCCACCAACTCAGCTCACTTACCTGCTTGATGTATCGTTCATTGATAACAAGCCGTAAATAAAACAAGCTAAGCCGACTACAGCTGCAAAGGTCAGCATCTCTGTGTAATATCCGAGAAAGACAAAATAGATGCCAATTTTTTCCCCAAAATAATTCCTATGAAAGAGGGCAAAAATAGAATCAGAGATTGGAAGAATGATAGTGCAGGGACCCTTGGTTTTGTATTCAGACAGGCCTGTGTTCTCATTTTGGATTCACTGCTCTCTAGCCCTGTAATTCTGGTCACGTTACTATACTCTCTGAACTCTAGCTTCTCCTTCATAAAATGCAGGAGACGCTTATCTACAGAATTGGTGTAAGGACTAAAAGAGATAACACATGTAAGGAGGAAGTCAACTGAGCAGAAGTTTTAATTTTGAAACAATATGGTAATTTGAAAGCTTCTAAATTTTAAAGACTTTAAATGTTTTACAATAAACTGCAGAACATTCTGCAATGTAACTTCTACCAATTAACTTAAATCAAAATCACATTCACAATCTGCACCGACCTTTGCTTTATCTCTCTCTAAAACTGAAGGTACTCTGACCACGATATGCGAAAGCGGTCGTGTGTGTTAACTGCCATTTTCCTTCAAGTCTGGATTTCTGATGGATGCTTATAGAATTGTGAGACGGGTAACAAACCAAGGAATTAAAAATGACTGCTTAACAAGTGTTCCATAAAATATACAGTTCAGTTCTTGCTTTACAAAGAGTTGAAAAGTGACAGCATTACTTGGAATAAATGTTCAAGTATTACAATCAAGTTTTTTTGTTTTTTTTTAAACCAAGTCCCCCTTAAGGAATCCCTCAAGGAATCAGAGAATGTAGTTCTCTCTGCCTCAGAAAACTAGGGATTTTTAAAAAAACAGGTTCATCCTCCTCCTTATTAACATAGAGCTTAGCTCACCAAATCCCTGAAGGCTTTCTACAGTCTCCTAGGCGAACAGATGTGATCCCTCTTGGGTTCACACAGCACACTATATATAAATCTATTAGCACTTAATGTTAAATTGTAATTTCCATAGATGATCAAAAAGCAGGCAACTCGGAACAGAAAGGGTATAAACTTAATTTCCCAATGAGAAGATTTTTAAGTATTTTTCTTATATTCAATATCAATTTTATTGTACCTCTCCTTCTTCAGTTTTCAAATTTTCTAATCTTTTCTACTTAAATAGGCGTCTTTCTGCTTATACCACCTTTCATTCTTTCCAGTGATAATAAACATTTTTGCATTGTTGTTTTCCTTTGTTCTGCTCTTCAAATCACTGTAAACTTGAAATTGAATTATAATTCCATCACATGCCCTTGTTAATTTGCCATTCACAACTTCCTAAGGTTCACTCACACTTAGATGAGTGGACTTGCTTTTTTCCTTTTTTTTTTTGCTGAAAACTATAGCAATTACTGTAAAGAAAGCAAATACTGCAATAGTGAATAACATAAAATCTAAAAAAAAGGATAAAAATATTTGATTTGTGGAATTTACTATTCACCATGTCTATTTCCATTTGAAGTTTTAAAAGTTACAGAATCAATAAATTTTTGAAGGTAAAACATCAATATTACTACCATAGATTTAACCTAAAAATTCTTCAGAAATTCACAAAGAACTGGATATTTCAATATCCAGTTAAAGAACCACATTTTCTCCCTTTCAAATTACAAGAATCTTATTTCTTGAGAATTTAAAAAAAACGTCCTCAAGAACTGCAGACCTTTAATTAGTATTAAAAAGATTCTCAAAAAGAGAAATCCTCAGATGAGCATTTATTATATATGGAATTGTAGAAATTATTTTACTAAACTTTGGGCTTGGGGATCTTAACAATAACAGATTAACAACTAAACCATCTCTTAAGAGTGCAAAAAGATAGAGACTGTCTTAGATTTCTATTATCGTAAAAATGTATACATTATTAAAAGAACATTTAAGGTGTTAAATTATCTTATTATTCATTACAAAGAAAATGAGAGAAATCTAATAATATGAGACACTCTAAAAAGACTGAAATAGGGCCGGCCCGGTGGCATAGCAGTTAAGCATGCACACTCCGCTGCAGCGGCCCTGGCTTTGTGGGTTCAGATCCCGGGCGCGCACTGATGCACTGCTTGTCAAGCCATGCTGTGGCGGTGTCCCACGTAAAGTAGAGGAAGATGGGCACAGATGTTAGCCCAGGAACAATCTTCCTCAGCAAAAGGAGGAGGATTGGCATTGGATGTTAGCTCAGGGCTAATCTTCCTCACACACAAAGAAAGACTGAAATATGAGTAGAATCCTTTCTTTTAAGTATTAATTTTTTAGAAAAATGTGCCTTATATTTACACCTATGGTATTTCTTAACCTCTCCATCTCACTTACTAGACTTGGAACTCATCTGTGGCCCCATACCATCTAACACAACATCTGATGGTAGAAGACATTCACTAATACTGGTTGTGAGATCTTGTGAGAAGGCACTGGTCTAATTTTGTATTCCCAGGACTTAGAACCTAGTCTGAGACCTAGCAAATAATCAAAGGAATGATGATATAACTGAGCTGAATACAGGCTTGAGGAATGAATGAACAAATGCAAACATTTGGTCTAAAGAGATTCATTTTTATAGTGAATTCATGGACATTTGAGAAACTTAGCTATTACACTGTCTTGGCATTTTAAAAGCACCATTATATTCACTGTAAATATATTTATTGTAAGCTATTTGCTATATAGCAGTATATCAATTTTATTTCTAAGTATTAAGCCACCCAAAATAGGTGCTATCAAAAGAAAAATTATATGGAGCTCTTAAATTGGAAAGAAAAAATAGGATTAGAGGGCATATAAAATTCAAGACTGATACACCAATGATGGCAACCTTGGCATTCCCATTTTTCTTGAAAAAATATAATCTATTATGATAAAATGATCAGTGCTGAAAAGGCAGTAAAACTGTTTACAAAGATTTGGATATGGAATTTAAGTTTGGTGTAGAGATAACATAAAATATGTGAAATCTAGGAATTCAAATTCCTATATTCTAAATCTCTTTCTAGGCACCCCAAGTCATCCTGTCTTTCCCTTTGGTTTTTAATCCTCCATATCCAATCACCCACTAGGTCCAATAAATTCCGTCATAAAAACCTTTTTCTAATCCACAGTGTCCTCTCTTTCCTGTCACCAGTGACTTGGATATGACCTTCACTATCTATTACTGGAAAATTTTAATAGCCTCCTCACTTCCCTAATTTCAGTCTTGCATCCTTCTAAACTACCTTCCCTGTTTCCAACAGGGTGATGTTTCTAGAGAAAAAATTGAACGATGTCCTTTTCCTCATTCACAGGTTTCCTCCCTTCATCTTAGCGGTGTTCTTCACGATTTTGTTTCTGATAAACATTCATCAATCTCACCTGCTACTACCCCTAAACGAAGAACTCAACGCACACGCTCTTCCTCAGCTCAGTGCTCGGGACATGTTCTCTCTGCCAGGGTAGTCTTACCTCCCTTGTTCACCTAGCAACCTGCCACTTGTCTCTCAAGACACAGCTCGAGAAGAAGAGCTGAGAACCTCTCCCTCAGGTTGTCATAAAGGCAGGTGCTTTCTCCTCTGTGCTCTTTCATGAGTATCACTCTGCTCTAATTCTTATGCATTTGTGTGTCTTCCTGCAAATATATTCATGTTAGGAAACCACGTTGTGATTATCTTTGTAGTCCTAGCTTCCTGCCTGATATCTAGTGATGCTTAATAAATGCTCATTAAAGGAACGTGTGCATTGTAATTATGCATCTGTGGACAATTTCCTTCTCTTTCTAAGGATATTTTTATTTTTATCAAGTTTTCCCACAAAATCTTCCCCAAAACCATAAAATCAACAAGGAGAGGAAATAAAACCACACCTGATACAGGCCTTCAGCATCATGACAGAGAACACCATGATCTTCAAATGACCTGTAAGTAAAGAAATAAAGCCAATTCCAACAGAGCACCTGCCACCTGCTGCCACAAACCTGAGGTACAGAGAGCACTGAAGAAGACGCTTATGAAATGATAGGGAAAAAAGGTAAAGTAGGGTAGAGACATTAGACAAACACAGACAAAATAACCCCTGGAAAAACAGTCTCACTAAATGCCATAATACTGACCACATGTTGGGACCTGGTCATTCATAGCATTAGCTAAAAGGAGGAGATCTGAAAATGAGCAAGACTGGAAGTCGCAGCCTCAGAAAAGCAACGTTTCTGGGGAAAAATCAGATATAAAGGTGGTACTCCTTAAAGGTGTGGCAGTAAAGACAAAGAAGGAAACAAGAGGGATAGTTAGGATCTCGTAGAAATGAAGAAATAGCACATGACAACCACACACCATCAGCCATAAAAGAAACGGCATGGAATAAGAAAGATCGAACCAAAGAGGGAACTCTAATGCCAAAAACTCTGTGAACTAACACAAATAGAAAAAAGCAGACCATGTCTACACAAAACTATATTTAAAAAACTAAAAATGTGAAATAAATGATTTCAGCTAATGAAAATTTTCCCAAAAGACCATGAGAAATACTGTAATAAAGCACTACAAACTGAATTAAATGTTCTCACATAAATAATTACAAATAGAAGAAAATACCAGAAAGATAAACATAAGAAGAAAAGTGGAGAAAAACAGTAATAAACAAAAAAAAGAAGTAAACTCCCAGAAAGACAGGAAAAAGAAAAATCATATAAAATCATATCGGAACTGATGCTGAAATTATGAGGTATTCAAGAGAGAAGAATGAAAGAATTAAGTGAAAAATCTAATAAAAGACAATAAGAAAAATAGGAAACCTATAAAAAGAATGAAAATGACACAAAGAAGTAAAAAGGGTCTCAGAGAAATTGTTTGATATGAAAACAGGCAAAAGAGACCAAAAATGCATATAATTGGAGTCCAAAGAAAACAATCAAAACACTGGAAAAGAAATAATAATTTAAAATTATAACCCAAGAACACTTTCCACTTTGGAAAGTGTTCTTTTTCCAGAAAAAAACAAAAATAGAAGCTACATATTGAAAGGATCCAGGAGGATCCAGGCAAAACTGACTTAGAACAATCAATTCCAAGACATAATATGTTAAAACAACCAGACTT